GCTGCTAAAGTGCACGCTCTGTTCGCCGGTATCTCAGCTTACTAGCAGCACAGACACGATGCACATAGTCCCACCTCCAGGATGACGACCGCGTTCTTTTGGGCCGGTACGGAAGCGGTGCTGGCGCCATGCGGTCTGTGACAAAGAGTCAGCTTGTAACATGAGGAGAGTAAGTGTTTCGTACCTGAAATAGGGTTCGTTTGACTTGGTTTGTTGCTGTCGTCAGGCTGGCTAGGGTCGGCCGCTAGAATTGTTTGAAACCATTTGTCAATGTTTCTTTGGGCAGGGGTCTTCGCTGAAAGACCCGACTGTGAAGCGCTATCGACCACAGAGCGTCGCGCAGCGCCTGCTCGCTTTGGTTTGCCTGGATTCTGGGAAGATTTGGCGCCAGTGCGGCGACTCTGCTTCCGCAGAATATGATACTTTTTCCCTCGTAAAGATTCAACGCTTCGATGCACCTGATATTCCTCATAGTATGCGTCGGAGAGAGCTTTCCACGACAGCTCCCGATGGGCATCCAACCAAGGGAGAAGATTTTTCTCCTCCCATTCTGGCCAGCCGTATGCGCGACGTGGGGACATGGTGATGCTCGGGCAAGTTGCGGAAGTGGTCAGAACGGGTGAAGAAAACAGCAGAAAGTAAATTCAAAGATGTAGTGTTGTTGAGTTCAAAAGATTATAGTGTGGCACGTAAAAAGCGACTTTGTGTGTTTATGAGCTTTGGCCCAGCCCGGTGACCTGGAATCAGACTCTCACGACTTGCACCAATTCAGGGTTCTGAAGACCAAAAAGCCCTCATTTTTGATACACTATGTTTCGTTGAGAATCAACAACGCCTCGAATTTTGATGCACTCTGCTTCGTTGAGGATCAACAACGTTGAACGCGGCCACAAGAGCCCGTTCTTGTTGACAATTCCCCATTGTTTCACCAATTCGTTGAAATATATTGTCTGACCCGCCTCTTAGTGAGACATTGTTCAAAATGTGCAGTATTTGAAATAGATATCTACGGTAGGATTGAAAAATGCGTGCGCTTGCAATCCCCTCCTCAATTACGAGCAAGTAAACACTCAAATCTGGTCCCGGAATACAACATGCTATAAAGCCGGAGCGCCGCCTCCTATCACACGAAATCAGAACTAAGACCACCCGTCACCCCTGCGTACCTCATACGCAAGTATGGGCGGAATTCGTAAAGTCTCGCACACTCCTCGACGACAAAACTTTCGAAGCCGATTGCAACGTGCATTGTCCTTGTCGTCCTCTGAGTCTGAAGATACTGGTAGTCCGTCCAGGTCCGCTACAGGCGATACCACAGAGGACGAGTCAGCTTTTCAGGAGGAACACGACTCTGGCGACCAGGACAATAGCACCTCAGCCGACGAGACCGAGCAAGAAGATGTACGACAGCGGAAGACTGTGTTTGGACACGTAACCGACTTGGAAACGCGCGGGCAGACTCAGCTTTCCGGAGACAGCAATACGGTCGCTCTTGAATGCCTGACGGAGTAAGTACAATCCTGTCAAGGACATAATTTATGATGAGCTTGCTAACAACATCCAGACTAGATAACCGGATGCGGTCAGTTGTGGCCCATCTTGAGTGACAATGTAAAGCGCTAACCGTCTCCGCAGGTCTATTGAGCGCTCATCGCATGACCAAGCCACCTGGAATGAAACCATTCGCAACGATCTGGCCGACGTTTTTGGTCGATTGGCGATCGTCGAAACTGAGATCCAGAAGATGACTAGGCAGGGTTCAAACAAAGCTACAGAGGGCCAGAAGGTCGGGCGATCCCTGCGTCGGCAGCAGTGATGCGGCTCAAGCTTTACTTGAATATTCAACCATGTACATCAGAGCAAGATATCAGTCTGTGTTGAACTGGAAGTATGGCCACGAGCTTAACCAATAGAATATGGACACACTCATCATTGATGCTGGATAGGACGGTCACTGGACAAGGTCGATTGACTCAATGCCAAGCTGATGCCATGGCGAGCGATGTATCATTTGTTGTTGCATTGGGGTCTTCGTGTTTTATCTATGTTTCCCTTAGCTGTGCAGACGGAAAACTATGACTGGTATATGAACTGTGCCGAGATGGTTCTCCTGAACCGACGGGCTATAGTCGCGAGCCAATATATGTTGCCGAGTAAATTAAACGTTTCATTCGTTCCATCATTGCAGCTGATTTGTATTGTCTGGCTCAGTATGCTTGTACTCAGCCTATATAAGTGAGGAAATTCCCAAGAAGGCTAGAACTACAGTAGCGCTCAAGAATCATACGCCATGTAACAAATGATCAAACATTGGTTGCGGCTATTGAGGTGTGATCCTTAGCGGTTGATACTCGCACAGTAGTCCAAAGTGCCATATCCCTTGACTTGCAACGGCCCATCCAAGGAGAAATTGCTATTTGTGATTGGGCTGGACCAGGATACTACGGCAAACCTTGGCTGAAGGCGGATAAGAAAGAATAACTATAATGCGCAAGAGACGCGCGGGCTTCTCCACCAAACTCATAGCCACAGATATTAGCAGTATTCGGATCGGACCATTAGAGATGCGTTTCCTTTACGCCATTTGGAGACCAGGTGAATATCAACTCCACGGACCAGCGTGTTAAGGTCTCTCCTATTACCCGGAGCGTATCTGGGCGCGTCGGCCTTGAGCCGTGTGATGTCGAATACTCTACGGTAGTCTCGCCATAAGTATGAGTCTGATCTTCCCCTACATTTTGTTATGGCAAAATAAATTGACCATGGAGGTTGTGGTGGATGCCGTCGCTGACCTGCACCGAATACTGGATCGAGGCGCATGTGCCTGCCCGTGCTCGGGTTTCTCAAACAAAATAAAATAGCCCCTCCCCTTGAGGGCAATTAACAGAATTGACAACACACACAGTTTGGCACGGTACATATATATTGAAAACATAGCAAAATGCTTCTTCATGAACTCTCTGCGCGTCGGCTACATGTACATGAAAACTCCGTCATCTGCAGGAAAGTGAGGACCTAGTCAGACCAACGCACCCCAATTGTGAGAAAAGGGCTCATCTCAGTTGGTCGTATGTAGTTCATGTTGGGTACCAAGCGGAACATTGTCATTGTTCGATTGGGAGATGCTGGGGAGCATATCGTGGCCAAGCATACCCGCGTCGCCCTGATCGGGCCATTCTGCCTGGATTATTCCGGATCCTGGCAAATAGGATGCCAGTCGTCTGTTCTGGAGGGCGTCGATTGCGCTCCAGAATCGAGTGGTCGCGGATACCAGCTCTGCGTGTGCCTGATCCAACACCAGCTGTATATCATTCCACGGGACCTGATCTTGCAGCGCGGTGTTCGTGGACTCCAGCTGCTGCTGCAATTGGCAAATCTCACGCTGGAGGTTCTGCTGCTCGGCTAATGCAGCATCCCTTGCCGTAACTGCGATTTGCAATTCCGAACTCTTTTGCGCTTTGTCGGCCTCGAGCTGGTCCAGCAACTGAGAAAGATCGTGGTTCTCTCCATCTCTCTCCTCAAGCACCTCTTGAAACTCCTCCTCAATATTGCTCATCACCCTGAGACACTTTCTATGTGTCGCTTTGTCGTTTTTCCTTTTGGGCTTCTTCGTAATGGAGGATGCCTAGCATGGTCAGTAAAGAGTACATTCAAATAAAAGGGGTGACACCGGGGCTGTTCTGGCCATAGCGAATTACGAGCAGACAAGTTGAGCAGTGGCATACCGAAGTTCTGTATAATTTCGTCTCTGGTTTGCGTGACTTTCGTCTATCCTTGGTCTCAGAACCAGTAGAACAAACGGAAGAGAATGACGGTGCGGCACGCCGCCGTACGCCGTCAGACCTGAGGTCTGCGTCATCCTGAGGAGGCTTGGGATTCTTTGCCATGTTCGAACTTTTATTACCATCAATAAACAGTGAATCAACGAGGCGCAGAAGAGATGAGAAAAGTATCAGCAGTGACCTGCCGAGAATCTGGCATTATATAGGAATAGGGAGAGGCCTAAGCGTAAGATCTGAAACAGAGCAGGGCTCCTACCAAGCAAGTGCGTCGGGACGAGAATTACGAACTCAATAGATTGAGGACTACTCTATATGCCAGACTCCATGGAGCGTTATCGCGAACACACTAAACATCTGCCCTTCGATTGTACTGTCGGGGATGCGATCAATTAGCCCGCACAAAGATGCATGTGGATGCACACTACCCTTTCACAGCATGAACAGGCCAGCCTCATATTATTACCAGTAATATCACACATGAATTACGTTGCACTTTACTGAATAAATTCAGTTCAAGCAACAGGCTCAGCAGGAACCAAGAGTACAATGGAGCCTCGACAACGACTAAGCGATGTGTCGTACATGTTTGGTGATCACTAGACCACTTTCCACGCTGTATGAGGGATCGTATGTGTGGCTGAAGTCTGTTTGCTAGGCCTGGAGGATTTACTACCATTAATACATCTAAAGTCAGTGAATCTTTGGACGAAATAGAAGTTTTCAACCGGTATAGACCGATTCCTAATACACTTGCGTATTTTAAATTCTATCATAGCCATAATTCCTAGTTTACGTGGCTCGCGACGTCTCTGGACTGTTATGCTTCGCTTGTGGTACGTGTGTTCATGTAGGGGATCCAGCCCATCTAGAGCAGGAGAAAGAGTCACTGAAGTTGCAACGCAGTACTGTAAGTCCCACCGCGACCCCAAGAAATATTATTTGCAGGAATTCTTAGTAATATTTTGATACACTATGTTTCTCAACCACCCTGCTCAAGCTCTTTGTATCCACTTTGCTAGTATCTCTCGCTCAGAATCTTTTCATACATCTGCATTGCTAGAAGTTGTGCGCCAGCTTGAATCTGGAAATCTAGGTATCAACTATTGGCGCTTATCACTGGCCGTATACACTCTTTGCGATCCGCAAGATGAGGACTGGCATATTCGGTGGGCTCTCAGCGCACTCCAGCTGTGTCAGCCTTGTGCTTTTCTGTCAATTTTAGATCTCGCTTGATGCTGCATGGCTGCCAAAGGCTGATGATTGGCTGTCGTTGTCATCAAGTGCGATGTCCGTTCCCTCTGATTGCAGCGAACCCAGTGTCTGCATTGCTCCAGCGATGCCCCTTCTTGTCTCTACCAGCTTATCACGCAGCATCTCGTTTTCCGACTCAAGAATCTGCCTATCGTGGCGGAGGTGGTTGGCTTCAGCCCGGAGCGTATTACTTTCGCGAAGACAATCATCTAGCCGAGAACGAGTGCGTTCCAATTCCACTTGGATGCGGCCGTTAGCAGCCTTAAGCTCGCATATCTCTGCCGTGAAAGAACCATCCATTATTCCTTCACGGAAACCATGGGTCTTTATGCTCCGTCAGAAGGGCTATACAAATGGAGACATCTAGCAACGGGCTCACCTCCTTTGGAAGGCCGCATGTATTGGAATGCGGATTGACAGCTTCGAGTGAGGAACCGAGCTCCTTCAATATTTTCTGGTAAAGGTTTATCGTGGCACTACTTA